CAATGATTAAGAAACACTACCCATTATGGCTTTTTTCCACATCCTCTGGTACTTCTTTCTTTGTCGCTTTCATCTTTTTCTTAGAATTCTCTAATTTATTTGTACTCAAGTCTTCAGCACTCCTCTTTCTAATTATATCATGCCTAAACAATGGGACAACTAAATCATTCTCTGCTAACCGTGCTCTCTCAACCAATTCTAAAAACTTTTGAATTCTTAGTGTTACCAATGGGTGTCTCAACTCATCCTTTATTCCTTTAGAAATCTATAACATTAATCTTCTACAGTGCTAACCAACTGTGGGGCATACCTGACCATAATTATAAATTTTGATTTATAATATATCACTATCTTTTCTCCTACTCCAATCTCATAAAAACCTCTTGCATTTCCTATCGAGCTGATGGAGGTACAAACTAGTTCCTGAAATACAACAAACTCTATCCAAATAATCTCTACGATCATCCTTCTATGGAATTTCTCCTGCTATTATCCTACCACCATCTTTTTTTCTTCACCCTCAAACAAGAATATTGATAGTTACACTTTTTTTTTTCTCAGGGCACTACATACTGTTGAATATTTTCTCTATCCTTAACAATCAGTCTTTTGCTACATGCACCCTAAGTTATGGTTGCTTTAACTTATAAAACATTTGTAAGTGCGTATCTTCATCGCTATCTCTAATCCCTTATTTTCTATTCTGAATGTCACTTATAATTTGAGCATCCATACTAGCAAGTTGTAACACATTATTAGAAGACATTGGAGCTACTGCTATAATTTTCTAAATTAGGTCTATCTGTCCACTTATATAATTATATTTCCTAATCAATCATGTATATAAACTCAACATATATATAGATATAGATAAATGAATCAAATATGTAAATAGAAAAATATATACTATGCAACTTCTACCCCACTCATAATCAATCCCATAACCCTAGAAAAAATTTAGTTCTTTCAATAACTTAGCTATACCAATTGTAATACCCCAATACCTAAATTTGGAAGAATTATATATTTTATCTTTTAATAAATTTGCCAAAGCCACTAAATATCTATTAATAAGAAAAAAATAAATCTAATAAAAATAACTATAAATTATATATATCAAAACCTTTATATATTCATTCCTTCAAACTTTGATTTACAATAGCTAGGAGATCACATCAAAAATCAATCTATCCTTTTAAAGCTCATGGCTACAGAATAATAAACTAAAATACGAAAATAAAAGAAAGCCCAAAAATATTGATCAGGCTCACTCCATAGGATTCTCTTCCCTTCCTAGATCTAAAATCAATAAAAATCATATGATGAGCTTACAAAACCCACTGGGTTACCAAAATCCACCATTATATTCAATGTAAGACAGAAGAATTATAATATATATATATAGGGGGGGGTGGCGGGATGAGGGTGGTAATAAGGTGGTGAGGGTTGTTTAATATATATGTGATGATTACTATCTAACACTATGTATTCATAATTTTAAATTTATGATTGCAAATATAGTTTGGAAATGTGAATAAATTTGAAATTAAAAATGTAATATTTTTAAAATTTGAAATTTTTTTGTTTTCAATTATTTAGGTGAAAATGATCTTTATTAAAATGAAAAATATTAATTTGGAGAAAAATATCAAATAAATATTGTCCATGCATGGTTGGTTGGCCAAAGAAAAATGGATGGGGTAGTCACTTAGTGGTCACCACACACGATCTCTTCTAATCACACTTGTGGCTGCCCCCCTCTCATTTTCCCTCTATTTAAGAAATTCAAATTAGTATCTCTAAATACTATATATATTTGCTAGAATGTGAAATGAAAGATTTTATTTTCTAGCTATAGTTTTGATTTTATTTTGAAAGAAGAGGGGTTTAGTAGACAACCTCACCATCAGAGGACCTTGATGATTCCTTCAAGCCTTTCCACATTTGTGAGTGGTAAGTTCTCAAAATCTCCAAAAAAACCCTACCTCTATCTTATTGTAGATTTCTTCTACTATCCTCTCCTCACACTCTCATATCAGTTATCTAACAATTCTTCCACAAAATTACACATAACAGGCCCATAGGAGCTCTCAACTAAGATTAGCCCTAACCTGATCTAGTTTTTCTCAAGCCCTTATCTAGTTGATCAAAGCACCTTGAAATTTTATAAACAAAAACATCATGTCTTTATCCCACTATATATGAATCCTTTGTATCCATTATATCCTATTATTAGTAAAATTCTTATTTAAATCTAATAAAGCAATGTCATTCATAATATTTTCTAACCAAGTCCTACTAGGTCTATCTCTACCTTTCTTAACATAAGCCAAATCTAATACATCTACTCTCTTAACCAAGTAATCGAAAGGCCGCCATTTTATGTGACCAAACCATCCAAGGCGACTCTCTCTAATCTTATCTTCCACTGGAGTTACACCAACCTTTTCAAGTATAAGGTCTTTAAGAGTAAAACCAGTCATCCACCTGAGCATCCTCATCTCTGTAACACCTAACTTAATATTATGCTTCTCTTTAATGGCCAACATTCTGCACCATAAATCATTGCAAGTCTCACCACACATAATAGAATTTTCCCTTAAGTTTGAAGGGGACTTTTCTATCACACAACAAGTCCGATGCATTCCTCTAGTTAAACCATCCAACTTGATTTCTACTAATAATATCCCATCTATTTCAACATCAAGCCTTAAAAATTTATCAATTACTTTTATACTACATAACCAATGTCCTATATATGGAAACTTTGCACTACTACTCTCAAACCATTCTAAGGATACCGCACTATCCCTAATGTCTTTTTGAAGCCATCCATGTCGAATTCATTCACTACTATGAGGCATAATCCTAGGCCACATTAAACTTGATTGAAGGTTTAATTAAAAGACAATGATATGCTATTTAGCTTATGACGGATTGCATGTTAGTAGTCCATTATAGCTTTAGATAGATTATTTCAATTTCAAAATTCTATTAATAATATCTAATTTCTTGTAATAAATGAGGCAATTTCAAGCAAGTACTCCCAAAACTAGCTTTATGTAATGCAAGATGAATTTGATTCTCTTTAAAAGAATAATACTTAAGTTCTTATATGATAATAAAGAGAATCACAAAAAATTAAATGTAAGTGACTTTTTGAACTTAAAGAAGGAAACCTTGAAAGTGAATATAATATATTCAAGGCTAGACTACTGGCAAGTGGATATACTCAAAAGGAAGGTAAATACTATACATTAATCTTCTTTTTGGTGATAAGGCAAAAGTTAATAAGAATATTGATGAGTCTAGTGGCCTTCTTTAATTCAAAATTGCAACAACTTGATATAAACATTTTTTTGCATGGTGAGTAAGAATAAAAAATTTCAATTGATCAATTAGGGGTTCTATAATTCCTAATAAGATTAAGCATATTTGTTTGTTGAAAAAATCCTTAGGATTAAAGATTCGAAACATTCATGTTGAACTTGTGTTTCAAGAAAAATAGTTATGATAGTGTTTCTACTTCATGTCATTACAAGGTGGAAACATGATCTATTTCCTAATCTATGTCAATTATACATTGCTAGCCTACAAAGATAAGCTTGGAATAAAAAAGTTCAAATACTCCTTCAAGCCTGGGTTTGATAATAAAGTATTTTGGTGATGCTAAAAAGATTCTTGGAATGAAAATTCAGAAGGACAAGAAAAAAAAAAAAACTATTTCAAGATAAAAAAAACAATATCTTTAAGATCCTCAAACGATTCTTGATAATTAGTTCGAAAGCTATTAGTCTATCTCTTACAAGTCAACTCAAGCTATCTTCAATTATATGTCTTGAAGATATTTAAAAAATAGCAAGTATTCCTTATGCAACATGAGCGGGTCATTATGCTATGATTTATTTAAGATCGAATAGAGTTTTCTTTGTTAGTATTTTAAAGCAAGTATATGTCAAATTCTGGAATATTACATTGTACGACTATTAAATGACTATTTATGTAAATTGAAAGAACTTCGAACAAAGGATTGAAGTTTAGATCAAGTTTAAATTTCGTTGATATTAGTGGTTATTTTTACTTAACATATTTCCTTGGAAATTTGGATAAGAGAAGATATACTATTGTTTATATTTTTGTAGCTTGTGGTCATGAAATCTTATCAAGTGGATTCTATGGCTTCTACTAAAACAATGAAGGAAGTAATTTTGTTGCAATATTTTTTATGAGACTTCAATATTTTCTTATGTAGTAATTATTTTTTATGCTAATAGTCAAAATACTTGCACTTTTTGAAATAAGACTTGGAGCTGAGATTTCATTTTATTAAAATATTTGGTGAATTCAAGTGAAGATAAGTTGATGAAAGTATCAAATAATGACCTTATGACAATCTTCAGCACATGAAAATCATAATTTTCCTCTATTGAAATTTGTCGACTTGCATATGAAGCTATTTTGGATCATTTTGTCGTTCTTGGTCTTGAGTGAACTATAAATTAAGGCGAATGATAAAAAAATGATTTATGTATTTCTTATAAAAATCATTTACAATACTTATTTCAAGACATTAATTACAATTAATTATTTTCTTTAAAGTATAATAACAATAAATCAAGTCTTTATCCACTATGTGGGGTCGGCTACATGAATATTATATTTTTTCTATTGTGTTTTATTAATAGTTAAATTCTTATTTAAATCTAATAAAAAATATCATTTCTAATACTTTCTAATAAAGTCTTTTTAAGTCTAACTCCACCTTTTTTTCTTTACACAGCTCTCCTTGGCCTATTGGTTGAGAGCTAAGGCTTCCAACTAAGAGGTCTAGGGTTCGACTCTATGTGTATGCGTTGTCTGCATGAATTTGTATGTCTGACATTTTATGTGACCAAATCACCTTTAGCTTATTCTCTCTAATATTATTTGCCATTTATTTTATTTGAAATGTTTAGCCTATAGATTTACCTCCAGATTCTAATTGTTAGCTGCCCCCAACAAAACATAAGGAAAAAAAAAAAAACACATAAAGATGGGCGCTGGCGGGTGCGGAGTAGAGAGGAGAGAGAGAGAGAGAGGCCTTTCGGCTTGAGTTCCTGAGCAATGAGACGCTATACGCCGGGGAGTCTCCGCAAGGAAGAAGTGGCCGTCAGTGTGCAGATCGCCACGATTGGGCTGCTTAGTCTTTCCTCTCCTAGGTATCTTTTTGCCCTTTTGATTGCGGTGGTTTGATGCTTGGACCGTACTTAAGATGAGAGAGGGTTTGGAGATTGGTCTCTTGGTTTTCTTCTAGCTTGGAGAGCTGTAAGTTTCTGTCTACATTTATTCTTGTTCGTAGTGTTGTTCTCTGATTTTAATCTGAGATTAAAAAATGCATTTACTTTTATCATATCTTTACTGATCGGTAAGTAGTTTGAGATTAAGTTTGCCTTGTGGATATAGAGTTCCCTAAACTCTAAGCACGCGTTTTGCTTGTCCACCATGGATGATTCTAGCGGCTGTTTTCACTGGATAGATAAATAGAAATAAATTTGCTAGTTTTCTTTTTAACTTCAATTAATCCTTATTTACTGTTTACTATTTACTATTTTCCGATCTTGCTTATGGTTAGATCATTAATTATTCTTGCTTAATATGCCCTTACAAGTGAATAAAGAGAAAGTGATATGACAATGACTTAACAACGTTTTCCCAAAAAGAAACTCAACAATTTACTCTAAATGGTTCTATTAGAATAATCACAACTAGATTGAATTCATCAATTTTCTAAACTTTGTTGAATTAGTAAACTTTTTCAATATAACTTTTGCAGGACAAATTTAAAAGAAAAGAGTCGGATGAAAGTTGTATTAAGCAGGAGCAGGAATTCCTTAAAATTTTAAAAAATAGTAAATGCACTAAATAATTTGACGCATTTAGGTGAATGAGTCAAAGTCTCTAACGCAAGTAACTTAGATGGAAAATTCAATTGTAATTATATGGATGTAATTAATCTATATATGTAAATATTTAAATTATAAAATTTTGAATATGTAATTAAGCTATGATTTTATATTTAATTTGTAAAGATATTTTTCTAGAAATATAAAATTTTTAATATGTTATTTAGTTATAATTTTATATTTAATTTAAATGGTTTGGCACATTCACTTGAATTGGCCAAATCTTTTAGTCATTTGGTGCCTTCATTAGATGCTATGAGGTGCTAGAATCCTTTGAGATTCTGTTTGAGAAAAATACATGTGATATGTTTTAGTGTTATAAGCACAAAAAAATGTGTCATAAGAGGCAAAAAAACCTTTGAGGTTTTATCTGAGTCTGAGAAATGTGATGTGAACTACTTTATAATGTACATTTCAATTTATTTATCTACTTAGTATTGTTATTTCAATAATTGGATAACTATCATGCTCTTATTATAGTTTAATACATTGATGTATTAGACTGTATTTAACTGCTTTTAAATATTCAATAAAGTGTTTAATAAACCAAATCCAATTCTCTCTCGAGACGTTAAGAATTTGGAAATTTACATTGATTTATGTGGCCTGCTAAGCTGTTGTAACTCATTGTGATTTTTTATGCTTTTCAGGATCTGAGAAAGGGAAGAAGATTTTAGATTAGAAGTTTAGGATCAGATATGAGTTTATAGGACAGTCATGGCTAGCTAGTTTACTATTCAATCTTGTTCTGTAGCTTTTGTGTGTAGCTATATAATATAATGTAGATACATTTTGATGAAATAAAAGAAATCTTGTTGATAAATTTATTTTTAGTATTTGAATGTGTTAATAGTTTTGTAGTATGTAGTTATTTAAAATAAATGTTGGAAGAGAATCTGAATATTCTAAAATTAGATCTTGGGATTTGCCTGTCATAGCTCAACATGATAAGACTTGACTTGATCAGATTGGGTTGTGACAATCGGCATCCACCATAGAGAATGCAACTAGTTAAAAACATCCATTTCCTTCCATTACAATTGTAGCTAATATTGCCCCCCTATACTTGACTAGTAAAGAGCCCCATCTTGAATAAATCGCCATCTCTTGATTGACTGTCCGAATGCCTAAAAAATTCTTTTAAAATAAAAGTTACTAGTAAATTGAATGTTGTAAATCATTCGAGATATGACGTTGGGAATAGCTTCCAATAAATGGTATAGAGAGAAATATGACTCCTCATAACTACTAAAAATCGACTGGATCACCCCTTTGTGCATCCCGAGCCTTTATATATGACACTTTTATGTAAAACTTGGACTCCATTTTTGCAATTATTTTATGTGGCTTTATATCTAATTGGTGGCGAAGGATATCAGTGATGTAGTGTAAATGAATTTTGAAGTATAGTTGCGGTGACTTGTTGCCAATATCGGGTATGTGCAAGTGTGTAGTGGACTGCTCAATGTTATTTTCCATGGACTATCCAATCTCTTGTTTTGCATAGTATGAAGGCACAACAAGAACGAACATTATGGATGATTATGCTGAGCGCATATAACAGTTAGTCTACTTTTATTAGATGCGAATTTGATGTACACAAAATAAATCGGTTCTTCATCATATGTAATAAGATCAGCAATATTAAACATTGGAGAAGTTCCAAATAAATATGGGAGATCCAACAAATAAGCATTTGTTCCCAATCTTCGTACTACTCGAAAATGACCAAATTTCTTTCGGCTTAATTTGCCAAATGTGCCAACGGGGAAGCGCATTATCGTCGAAAGTAAGCCAAAATCAAATCTCCTTCTTGAAAATAACATTCTCTACGGTGTTTATAGGCCGCAGTCATATATTTCACATTTGCCATATGGAGTTCTTGTAGAACCTGTTGTTGGACCGATTGAATGTGATCAACAATTTCTATAGTTTCAGTACTTATTCGACCTAGCATAGGTAAAAAAGTTTAGTATAAGATGTGGGGAATAGGTTGACCATAAATAATTTCAAATGAATGTTTTCCAATGGTTCCATTAAAGGAATTATTATAAGGAAATAAGGCTTGGGATAAAATCAAATCCCATTAGAAAGGTCTTTCTCTTGCAAGACACTGTCTAAGCAAATTTCCCAAACTTTGGTTTACTACATTAGTTTGTCCATTGGTTTATGGATGATATGCACTATTGAATTGAAGAATAATTCTTAATTTAAACCAAAGTGTTCTCCAAAAATGACTTAAAAACCTAGTATCTCTATAAGAGGATAAAAATTCGAGGTATACAATGCAACTGCATAATTTCTTTAAAAAATAAATGAGCAACATGAGATGAATCAAAGGTTTTTTTACACAAGGAATGAAATTACCCATTTTACTAAATCGGTTAACGACAACGAACACAATCAAATTTTTGGGCTATTACAAGTAATCCTATAATGAAATCCATGGTGATATCCTCCCATGGTTTGTTTGGAATTGGGAGCAGAGTATAAAGATCAGTGTTTTGAATTGTTCCTTTGAATGATTGATAGATTTTATATTATTTTACAAACTTTGATGTGTTTTCGCATGTGGGGCTAGTAATATCGTTCTTCAACCAAGGCTATAGACTTTCCTTGACCAAAATATCCTCCTAATCCTCCACCATGAAGTTCTTTGATGAGTTTTTCACGTAAAGAGCTTTGAGTGATACATAGTCTAGTTCCCTTAAATAGAAATGCTTGTTGAATGGTAAACTGAGCAGTGGGGTCAATTCCAGAAGTACAACATGATTCCCAAATGGTTTTAAAATTTGGATCTATAGTGTAGCTATCTTTCAAAGAATCTTAAGAGACCACAGTCAGGTGAAGAGTTACCAACAAGTATGCTCGTCTGCTTAGGGCATCAACAACTTTATTTATAACTCCAGCTTTGTATTTGAGATGAAATGTGTATTCTAATAGGAAAGATGTCTATTTAGCATGTATACGATTTTAATTTTCTTGAGACCATAAATATCATAGTGCTTCGTGATCAGAGTTTAACACAGATTTCTTCTGAATAAGATAATGTCTCCGAAATTTAGGGCTTGGACAATCGTATAGAACTCGACATCATAAGTTAAATATTGGGATGTCATCAAAATAAACCACCACAAATTTTCTAATGAAAGGACGTTTGATAGGCCAAAGGGCGTGACTAGCCATTTGTAGAGTCCTTTTGTTTTAAAGGCTGTTTTCTATTCATCAATATGTTGTATTCAAATTTGATGATAGCCACTTTGCAAATCAATCTTAGAGAAAATTTTGACACTAGTCTGGAGATAGGAAACCTATACTTGATAGTTATCTTATTTATAGCATAACTATCGACACACATTCTCCAAGTTTTATCTTTCTTGGGTGTAAGCAGGGCTAGGATGGCACATGGACTTATGCATTCTTTGATTAATCCCTTAGTTAAGGGTTCAATTACTTGTTTGTTTAGTTCATCATGTTCAACATGGCTCATTCGATTGTGAGGCAAGTGGGATAAGTTTGCTCAGGGTACAAGATCAATATGGTGTTGGATATTTCTTAGAGGAGGCAGTGAATCAGGTAAATCTTCAAGAGTTATGTCTTCATATTCGCTAATCAGAGGTTGAATTATTTTAGGAATTATTTTGTTTACATCAATCTCTTTTCCTACCAAAATATAGACTACTTCAGAGTTTTTGAGTTCATTGGTATTGAGAAGTAGTTCAGGAGTGGGTGAATTTGAGGTTGTTTGGAAAATAAAATCAAAATCTCTTGCTAAGCCTTACAAGATATAATGGTTTAAGGAGTAGAGGTATCAATCACCCAGCAATGCCTTGTCAACCTCTCAATCGAAAAATTTTAGAAAGACCAAGTATTTTGTGACAACATGCCACTCAAAGCCTGTCATATTCTATTAGGTTGATTTTGGCAAAATGATCATAAGACCACTTATAATGGGGAGAAAAACACTAATACCCTGACCAAGGTCAACCTAATAGAATATGACAGGGTTGGTTCTAGGCGGTGGTATGTTGTGATACAATTTTCAGAGTTACCACCATCAATCATGAGGTACATAATTTTCCTCCTATAGTACATGTTCGAAAAATGTTTTGTCTAAGCCATTTATCTCCAGCATCTGATTTGGTGGTCAAGACCTTACGGATAACTAAATAATGATCTCCTTGGTCACTTTCAATATTAATTGATTCCAACTCTTCCTCATTTTCTTCTTTAGACTGATCCTCTTTTGAATTTTCATGATTATCCTCTTATTCAATGTAGTTGGTTCTAGGCGGGTTATTTTTCCTACAGGCTACTGAAAGATGACCATACAAGATACACTTATAACAAGGTTCAATTAGTATTGCTCCAATCACTCCTTTTTCCTTTTTTTTAATCACTCCTTTTTCCTTTTTCCTTTTTCATTAACTTGAGCTTCGTTAGGTTTTGGCGAAGATTTTAATTTGAAGAAGTTGACCCTATGACAGCTTGTGAAGTTTGAGCTTTACTTCCTAAAGATTGCTTAGGTTTGGTTGAATCAAATTTATGATTGTTGTTTCTCAATTTTTAATGCCACGCAATAGGCCTCATCGAGTTTGATTACGTAATGAAGATTTAGTTGATCTTGAATTGACCACTTTAGTACATTTATATAGCTAGTTATAATTCATTCCTTAGTTTCATTAAATCATTTATGAACTGTAGTTTATAAAAGTCTTTAGTGTATTTTTCTTTGGATCGAGTTCCTTGGTCAATGTTATTGCATTCTTGGAATAGATTCAGGAATAGTCAGAAGGAAAAAACTTTCCCCGCATTTTCTCTTTCATTCTACCCCATGTTTGAATTTTCTCTTTGCCTCTCTTTACTCTGTTAATTTGAAGATTTTTCCATCAAGTTAATGCATGACCAGTCAATTTTAAATTAGCAAACCTAACTTTTTATTTTTCAGGAATTTCTTTCCATTCAAAAAATTGATCCATTTTTTCTACCCATTCAAGGTTGTTCAGGTTGTAGTTTGCCCTCAAATTCATTTACGTCAATTTTCATCCCGTGGTCTCACTATCTATTATTTCTATTTTGGTTTTGTGGAACTTTATCTTCTTCTTCATTGAGTTGGACATTAGCGTTGTTTATAATTAGGACAGCCAGGGTATTAGCCATTACTTCCATTTGTTGTTGTAGGTTAGCCATTTGTTGCATAATCATATGTTATCAATCCGCTTGATTATTTTGGTTATTCATTTTTTTTTTATTTTAAAGAGAGGAAGATTTGTCCTACAACCTATGGCTCTAACATCAAATTGATGCAACCTAAGTTCTTAAATAAAGTTGAAGAATATAAGGAATGCAAATTAAGATATTTCCTTTCCATATTACATAAACAAACACCAAAATGATGGACACGTAGTAGCAAACTAATATGAGAAATTTGTTAGGAAGTCGCATAAGATAGAACAAATAATAAAACAAAAACTATTGACCCTCAAATCAACCATGAATGGTCACCTCACATGCAAATACAAACTAGGGAAGATGCTCAAGGAAAGGACAAACGAACGATCTTCCCAGGAACTAGGTTCTAACACAAGACCTTGCTCCTCCGACAAATACCAATAGAACATGCCACAACACCACTTATAACTCAACAATAGTTTAGAGAAAAAAGATACAGGTGGAAGAAAAACTGTGAAGAGAAGAAGTGAAAAGAAGACCGAGAGGAAGAAAGATGATGTAGGACTACATGCAAGAAAGGAAAATTGCACAAATTATCCAAAGAGCAATTTTGGATTTTTGTTATAAGCAATTAAAACAACAAAATAAAAA